TTTCACCTCCAACAGTTTGTAGAGGGAAAGATTTCTAGTAAAAGGGAAATGCTTTTATAAGGTCATCCCAGGCAATATACTTGATCTACCTGGTCAGAGAAATCTTCACTCTGGCAAAATGTGTCACAAAATTACATGCTATTTTTCAATCACATATGTTATTTGGTTTATAGTTAAGTAACATTTATTTCTGGGGCGTGAAGTCATGCTACCTAATACTCCATGGCTTGAGATTTTTAACATTAACAAAATTGTTGAGGATACCCTCAAAAAACAAGAAAACAAGCCAGTTTGGAAAAAGAAATCAATTCTTTGGCCAAGGGTATGTGGTAAAGAACTTGCTAACATGATAAGGACCAGAATTTGATCCCTACCACTACCACTAAAAAACAAAAAAGCAAAAAAACAGTTAGATGTTGAACCACTGCCTAACATCTGCTTTGCTTTCCCTCATCTCCTTCTCTCTTTTTTGGGGGGAGGGGTGGTTTCTCACTATGTAGTTGAGACTGACCTGGAACTCACTTTGTAGCCCATACTGGTCTGGAACTCACAGTGATCCTCCTGCCTCAGCCTCCCCAGTGCTGGGATGACAGGGGTGTGCCACCACACCTGGCACTACTTTCCCTCATTTCTAAACACTTAGTCCTACCTAGCAGGCCATGGTGGTACACAGTATAATCCCAGTACTCAGGAGGCTGAAGCAGGAGGACTGTGAGGTCTAGGGCCAATCTGGGCTACATAATGAGTTCAAATACAGCGAGGACTGCATAATTGTGACCCTGTCTCAAAAAACCACAACCAAAAACAGCAACAACAAAAACAAAAACCCCATTTAGACCTAAAAAGAAAATTAAAATCTAGGTATGATTTAACTTTGAAAGTATAACGTATGCTTATGAAAGAAATAAAAACAGTACAGAAAGTTATGAAGTAAAAAAAGTCTCCTTTCCTTTTCATCCTGGTCCTACTTATGTATTTTTCCAGAAACTTATTATTCCATGCACAAAGGCTGGGGATTTAGCTTAGTGGCACCACGCCTGCCTTGTAAGCAACAAGGTCCTGAGTTCAAAGCCCCAGCACACCTGCTCAACCCCAGAAAAGTGTACTTTGGTCTATTTGTAAGAACATGAGTAAAACAAAACCTTGAGAAAAAATTTAACCAAGGAAGCAAAAGACTTGTACACTGAAAACTGTAAAAGACATCACTAAAAGAAACTGAAGATGCCAATAAATGGAAAGATAATCTGTATCCATGGACTGGAAGACTTGATACTGTTAAGATGTTATTACTATACCAAGAAGACTACAGATTCAGTACAACCTCCATGAAAATTCTAATAGCATTTTTGCAGAAACAGAAAAATCCAACCTAAAATTCATATGGAACCTCAGAAGACCCCAAATGGCCACAACAATTTTGAAAAAGGAGACCAAAATTAGAGGTTTCACAGTTCCGGCTTTCAAAATTTATCACAAGCTGGGCGTGGTGGCACATGCCTGTAATCCCAGCACTCGGGAGGCTGAAGCAGGAGGATCACTGTGAGATCAAGACCAGCCTGGGCTACAAAGTGAGTTCCAGGTCAGTCTCAACTACATAGTGAGACCCTGTCTCAAAAATTAAAAAACAAACAAACAATTTTATCACAAAGTCACAGTAATCAAAACAGTATGTTACTGGCATTAAAAAAAAAAAAAAAAAAAGTACAGAGGGCCAGGGATTTAGCTCAGTGGTGGTACTGCCTGCCTCAAAAGCACAAGGTCCCTAGTTTGATCCCCAAACATAAAGAAAACCTAAAAACCACAACAAAAAATATACAGAACAATGGAATAGAGGGCCTAGAAATAAACCTTCTTGATATGGTCAATGATTTCTAACAAGGGTGCCAAGACTATTCAATAGGGACAGTCTTTTCAATGTATGATGGGAGGAAAATTGGATATCTATATGCAAAAGGAGGTTGGACACTTAAATAATATCATTAAAAAAACTAAAATCAAAGAAAGACCTAAGCCAGGCACGGTGGCTCACACATGTATTTGTAGCTACTAAGCAGGGTGAGGTAGGATCACAAGTCTGATCCCAGTCTGGGCAACAAGGTGAGACCCTCTCTCAAAAAATAAAAAATAGAATGTGCTAGGGATGTATGAGGCCCTAGGTTCAATCTCTAGTATCTAACCTCTACCCGCCAAACTTCTGTGCATCAAGGGACACAATAGAATGAAAAGACAACCTGAAGAATGGGAGGAAATATCTGTAAATCACATATATAAGGAATTAATATCCCAAATATATAAAGAACTATTACAATCTGACAAAAGAGATCCAATTTTTAAATGGTCAAGGGACTTGAGACATTTTTTTAAAAGACAGAGGTAAACAATAAGCATATGAAAAGATGCTCAACATCAATAATCATCACAGAAGCGCAAATCCAAACCACAATGGGATATTACCTCACACTTGTGAGAACAAAACAGCAAGCATAGAAAAGGATGTGGAGAAACTGAAATCTTGTGCACTGCTGGTAGGAATGAATACAGGTGCAGCTGCTATGGAAAACGGTAAAAATAGGGCCAGGGATTTAGCTCAGTGGCAGCATGCCTGCCTTGCAAACACAAGGTCCTGAGTTCAATCCCCTGTACCAGGAAAAAAGAAAAAAACAAAAAAACAAAAAAGAAAAGAAAAGAAAACAATAAAAATAGTTACCCTATGATCCATTAATTCCACTTAGGTATAAATCCAAAAGAAAGGAGAGTCTCAAAGAGCTGTTTCCACAATTAAATTTATAGCTGGATTTTTCACAATAGCCAACAGGTAGAAGCAATATATATGAATATTAGCTTTAAAAAGGATAGAAATTCTGGCATACACTCAGAGGACAGGCTGAGTAAACATAAGTTGTATCTAGGGAAATTAAACTCCCCAAAATATCCAGTAAGGTAGCACTTGCTAGGGGCTGGGAGGGGAGGATGGAAAATTGTTGGCTAAGGAGTTTTAATTCTGTAAGATAAAAATTTTAGGGACTGGTTGCATAACATGAACATACTTAATACCATTGAACTGTACATTAAAAAAATGATAAAGATGGCAAATTTTGTCCCGTGTATTTTATTATAAAAATTGTTTTCAAAGTTCAAATTGTATCTGGGTGTGATGGTACACACCTATATCCCAGCACTTTCAGAGGTTAAAATCGGAGGATTCCAAGGTCAAATCCAGTTTAAACAACTTAGTGACACCCTGTCTCACAATTTAAAAAAGGCTAGACATGGTCGTACATGCCTGTATTCAGCACTATGGAGGCTGAGGCAGGAGAATCACTGAGTTCAAGACCACCCTGGGTTACAGTGAATTCAAGGCCAGCCTGAACTACATACATATTGAGACTCTATCTCAAAAAACAAAACAAAACAAAAAACAAATTTAAAAAGGGCTGAGGCTGTAGCTCAGTGTGAAGGCCCTAGGTTCAATCCTTAGTACTTAAAAAAAAAAAGATTAAATTGGGTTAGGTGATACTATCATTTTTCCTTTTACAATGTATCTTGTGTATTTTCCTGAATCATCGCATGTATTTGTTCTTTATTCTTTTTTAGTGACTAGTTACCTGTAGGCATGCCATTAATTATTTAATCATTTTCTATTGATGGGCAATTAGAATACTTCCATTTTTCACAATTATCAACCTTGCTGCAATACTTTTTTTGCCTATATATCTTTCTACAACTGTATGAACATAAGCCACAGTCTAAAATATAGTCAACATTCTAGAGATTCTAGATAAAAAAAGGAGTATCATGCAAGGTAACATACAGTTTAAAAATCCAATTTAAGTTGCTGCCATTAACATTATCAAGGACCAGCCAGTATGGTGCACATGCTGGAAATCCCAGATACACAAGAGGCTGAAGCAGCAGGATTATAAGCTGGAGTCCAGCTGGGGCAACTAAGTCATACCCAGTCTCAAAATAAAATTTCAAAAGGGCCTGAGAGGTGGCTCAGAAGTAAAGCACTGGGCTAGCATGTGCAAGGCACTGAGTTCAATCTCTTATACTGCAAAAAAGTTAAAAACAAAACAAAACACAAGGATCTCATGGACTTCAAGTCAGTGATTATATTTTAAGGAAAATATTCAAAGAAAGCAAAAGCTACCATTTAATATCATGTATAATAGAAATAATTTCTTAATAGAGGCATTAAAAGGAAATTTAGTAAGCATGGGGAAAATTCTCTGACTCACTGCAGCCTACGTGACTCTGTAAAGCTTTACAACCAATGTATCACCTATTCGGGCATCAGCTTCCTGACCTCAGAACATGGATGGGGACTAAGAAGGACTTGGAAGAACAAAGACAGATCTTATGAAGGGAGAAGTAGTGGCTCCATTTACCCTCAAACCAGTTTACTTGATTTGTATAAGTGATGCACATATAAACAGCAATATGTTTCTCTCCTGAAATTGGCATTTTTATGCTAACTTGGACAATTCACAGCTAAATAGATACTAAATTATAAGTTACAAGGGCATATAAGAAACATGCTCTTTTTGAAACACCCTAAATTCAGTGATGGTGAACCTTTTAAACTCACTTACTTATCACAAAGTGCCAACACTGCAATCAAACCTGAATACTGACCGGCCATGCAAAAGCTAGGAAGAGGGCTGGGGACTTAACTCAGTGGTTCTGCCGCCTACCTCACAAGTACAAGGTCCTGAGTTTGATCTCCAGTACAAAAAAAAAAAAAAAAGGCTTGGAAGAGTTGTGGCTAATGAGGCGCAGCTCCTGATGTCATTGCCTGGTGCCACCACTCCTTCCTGTGCATGCGAATAGCCCCTGTATGTTATCTGAGGCTTGGTTGCTGAAGCCATGCTGGGATGACTTGGCTTGTGTGCCGGGCCGACAGAGAGGGTTCTGTGTGCCTGCTGCAGCACGAATGCCATAGGTTTACCACCACTGCCCTAGTTACGCTCCTTTTATGAGCTCCCCCACATCACACTCACCTAGTGACTTGTTTGTGGAAGTCTGTAAGTTGTCTGTGTGTCACTGTGACAGCTCCCACGGTTGTCTCCTTTGGCAAACCTTTCAAGGAATTCTCTAACCATCGACAAAAGGTCTGTAGGGGAAGAAGGATAAGAGTTTTCAAAGGAGGCCCTATGGGTGCTAAGAAAACCCCACGGCATTTGCTCCTCTGGACGTGGAACAAGTAAAGGAATTAACAAAAGTACTATCTTTAGCCTTCAAATCTTCTGACGTAGTCTGCAAATACAAGTTTACACTTCCCTTCAGGGGGTAGCAAAGGCTTCTGATACCTTCTAGAACTTGTTCACTTCCTATCCTTAAACTTCTTCTTCTTTTTTTTTTTTAACAAGGTCTCAGTATGTAGTTCAGGGTGGCTTTGAATTCACTACAGAACCCAGGCTGACTGAATTCATGGTGATCCTCATGCCCGGCCTCTGGAGTGTTGGGTTATAGGCGTGTGCCACCATGCCCCATCCCGTCCTTAAACTTAAACTATACTTTAAAAAACTAAACAGATGCCAGAAAACTGTTACACTTTAAGATCAAAAGCTATCCAAAGTAAATTTTCAGATATCAGAAATAGTAGAGACAAAATGATTATTAGGTAAGGCAGAGCAGGTTGACTGACACTGTCACAGAAGATAGGAGGAAGCTGAAAATATGACCAGAAGGCGAAAAACTGAAAGAAATTCTACAAGCTTAACAAACAAGCTATTAATTGGAAATGTTGATACTGAATATCTAGCCATGAGCAATCTAAAAGGAAAGGCCAAGTGAGAAACAGTGCATTTCAAAATAGGGTCACAGAAGATGTCATGAGTATCTATAGCTCTAAAGCAAAAGAACTGACAGAAAAATAAGAAATTTAAAATTTGGCAGATGATGATGAATGGTAACTATTATGTACTGAAAATATAATAATAAAAATTAAATAAATAGATTTGGCAGATTATGAAGGGTAAGTATCAGGGCCTAACATACCTAGAAAAAAATGGACTCTTAAGTATCAGATATATTTTCGATATTAACATGAACCACAATATTAAGAATATGCTAAAATGCCAGGCATGGTGTTGCATGCCAGTAATCCCAGCACTCGGGAGGCTGAGGCAGGAGGATCGCTGTGAATTCAAGACCAGCCTGGGCTACATAGTGAGTTCCAGGGCAGTCTCAGCTACATGGTGAGACCCTGTCTCAAAAAACCAAAACCAAAACAAACAAACTATTAAAAAAATAAGTATACTAAATAAGTATGTCGTAGCCAGGTGTAGTGGCACATGCCTGGAATCCCAGCACTCAGGAGGCTGAGGCAGGAGGATTGTACAAGTTGAAGACCAGCCTGGGCTCCATAGGGAGTTCAAGGCAAGCCTGAACTACATAGCAAAACCCTGTCTCAAAAAGTAAACAAAAATAAATAGGGCCGGGGATTTAGCTCAGTGGTTCCAGCACCTGCCTCACAAGTGCAAGTACCCAAGTTCGATCCCTGGTACCAAAAATAAAACAAACAAATAAAAATAAATAAATAAGCATGTCAGAAAGCACACATATAATATGAAGCCAGAGACTTAAGGATTTAAAGGTCATCTTGGTCAGTTTAAGCTATATCCATTCAGTTTCCCTGTGGTACTTGCCTATGCTCTAGGTTAAAAAAAAATCTCACGCCTGTTGTTATTTAAGATCGTTTATTTATATCTGAGCAGAATTTCTTTGAAACTTTCACAGGCACAAAAATTGTCCCACCCCCTTTATTTCCTTCCTCTTCAAACTAAAAATCAAAATTCCAGAGACTTCCTCTGGGTTATTTTCAGATGAAGTGTTCTCCTTTTGAGTCAGCTCTAATTTTTCTTTATTCCCAAGTGTGATATATATACTTTGGTCAGTTTTTACCTCTAAAGTTACCTTTTTATACCTACTTTTTTTTTTATATTATGTATTTCCTTACCATATTCACTTATAATCATAACAGACCAATGCAAAAGTAAGTATTATAACATAAATGTTAACCAACATAATTTCTCCAAATGTTACTCCCATCAAATTCACATTTTGGCACCCAAAAATAGACCAAGAGTTAACTACAGTAACCCACCAACTGAAAACAACCAGGTATTAAACTAAAAGGCAAAACTAACTGACTAGCACCTAATGGTCCTTTATCACCTCCCAGTAAAGAATTCTGAAAAATTTGGTGAAAACATGGAATAAATTTGCCACACAGGTGGTTATCCAACAAGGAAATTAGGAACAGAAGATATTCAATTTTGTTACACGAAAGTGCTTAAGAATGTGAAAAATAAAAAATTGAGACAGTCTCACTACATAGTTTCAACAGTCTCACTATGTAGTTTCAGGCCAGCTTAAATTCATGGCAATTCTCCTGCCTCAGCCTCCTTTGAGTGTTGGCATGTGATACCATATCTGGCTATGAATTTTCTTTTGATGCATGTCTTCCTTATAATATTAATTTGCCTATAGGATACAGGCAACCTAAACTTATATGAGTCCTTTTATAAAAACTCAGTTGCTGTAAACTGGTGCTCATAGAAGAAAACGACTTTTAAATTGACAATCAAGTATGTATTTACATAGTAATCTCTTACAGGCACAAAGCTACTTGATTTCGGTTCCTCTCCAAACCTGCCACTTTTATGTGTGGTACTGGGAATCAAACCTGTAATTTCACACATACTAAACCACTGAGCTACATACTCAGATCATTTTTTTCTTTAGTACTTAACAATATGTTTAAGAATCAAGAAAGTTTTTGTAAAGTTTGATTTATGTAGTACTGTCTTCTGCTTCCTAGGAGCCAAGTGTACTTGTAAAAATGTTTAATCAGATTACAGGGATTTTATTATTTCTCAAGGACTTTTGAAATTAAATTTGTTCGTCCTTGTGGGAAAAGATTGAAAAGAAAAGAAAACACAGGTGGTGCACATCTACAATCCCAGCACTCAGATGGCAGAGGCAGGTGGATTGCTGGGAGTTCTAGGCCAGCGTAGGCTGTACATAGAGAGATTTCAAGGTCAGCCCAGAATATACAGTGAGACCTTGTATCAAAAACGGGGTGGGGTGGATGGGTAGGTTGGGAGATGATAGCTAATGGGTACTTTGTTTTGATATAACAGAAGTGACCTAAATGCCACAGAAATACTACTGGAATATATTTATTGAACAAATGTCAGTGGGAACTATAGATACCATTATATACTATCATCTGTTACAATTCCATGGTCCTGGAAGACCATAGCTCAACTGTGTACTTTCCTGATCAGCTTTCTTTCTCATTAAAAATTATAAGTACTATTTTTAAAAATAATTCTCAGGCCAGGGATTTAATTTAGCTCAGTGGCCCTGCACCTGCCTCACAAGTGCAAGGTCCTGAGTTTGATCCCTGTTGGATACCAAAAAACAAAACAAAACAATAATAATAGAGCTAGGCATTGTGGTGCACGTCTGTAATCCCAGCACTCAAAAGGGTGAGGCAGGAGATTGCTGGAGGAAAGCCTGGACTACATAGTAAGACCTTGTATCAAAAAAGCAAAACAAAACAGCCAGGTGTGGCGGTGTACACCTGTAATCCCAGCGGTAGGCTGAAGCAGGGTGATAGCTGTGAGTTTGAGACCAGACCGGGCTACATAGTGAGTTCAAGGCCAGACTGAATCACATAACGAGACCCTGTCTCAACAAAAGAACAAACACACACGCAGGCTATATTATACTTCACCTCTATGAGCAAAACTTTGACATGGTATACATACAAAATTTGAAAAAAAAAAAATTTTTTTTTTTTTTTTTTGCAGTACCAGGGATCAAACTCAGGACCTTGCACTTTCAAGGTAGGCACGGTACCAATGAGCTAAATCCCCAGCCCTACAACTTGAATTATGATCATGTGGCTAATGCTGAGATTACATGGAATTTATTGGCTTGATTTATCACCAGAGAACAATAAAGTGCTATAGAAAGAGCCCAAAGCGATTGATCGCTTCTTGAATAATCCATGACTCACTATAAAATGATATATGGACAACTCCCAAGTGAAAAGTTCCTCAATGTCTAGCCACAGCACAAAATTCAATGCTTAGTACTTAACTTTTGGTAATAAACAGTGACAAAATTACGCTTTTAAGAACCTAATAATGAATTATAGGCATTTTTCAGATCTCTCAACTTAGCAATATCCATGATGAATACACTCATTATGTAGTGCAAACATGTATCAATAAAAATGAAGAACAAACAAAACTCATCAATGTGCCTAAATCTGGTTCCAAGGACATACACAGCAGGTCTAGTTTCAAAGTTAGGGTCAACTTCAAGGAACTAAAGCCTATTATATCTAGAGATTATGAGTATATATTCCTTATAAAACAATCTTACCGGTCTATCAACCTGCATGATCTCCCAGAGCACTTCAGCCACATCTGGTAAGGTATAAGGGGGGAGACAAAAGCAGCATGTGTGGAGCAGCTGGCTTACAAGCTGCTGCCCAAGCTGGTTCATCACCTGTCCAATCAGTTCTTTACGTAACTCAAAGTCATCTTCATGCTGTAAGAAAACAGATTACATGACTTGTAGTTCTAGTTTCTACTATCCAAAGAACAAGTACTTTCCCATTTAGTATAGAAATTTCTCTATCTTAGGGAATAAAATATATGTATTACGTAACAGCTAGATTCATAAAGTCCACTAAATTATTAAGAAAATGGGCATAAGTGTTAGGTGAGATCAATGTTGACAGATATTTTTATGATTAGAAGGCAGAAGAAAAACAATGGCTGAGCATTTCTATTTTTCTTTCTGTGTGTGTGGGGGGGGAGGTGTCCTTATTTCCTTTTTAAAAAAATATCCCCCTCCTAGCCTCCTTGTCCCAAGCTTTGCCTATTTCCTTTTGCAAAAAACAAATAAAGTAAGAATTGAAGACTTCTATTGGATATCTAATCTTTTCTATCAAAGCATTTGATTATTTTCCTTGTAACCAGTCCATTCACATATGTCTTCACTGCTACACCTTACTTTCAATTCTATTCCACATCTAGCCAAATCTACCTTTGAAAATCATGGGACCACTTCACCACTGCATCCAGACAGATCTCTTAATTACTACCCACTTAGTACTCTCCTGACTTTCCCTGATCAAATGTTCCAGGCCATTTAGACTATCCTTTTCTTTCCAATTCACTCAAATTCTAACTCTGTCTTATGGCTCTATTTAAGACCCTCCTCTTCCAGAAAGTTATCCCAACCTATTTACGTCCAGAGCTTTTCCTCCAATGAATTCAAAGCAACCATGACTTTTTTTTTTTTACCAGGGATCAAACTCTGGACCTTGCGCTTTCTAGGCAAGTGGCAGTACAACTGAGCTAAATCCCTGGCATACAACCATGAATTTTATCACACATCTTAACAAATACTGCCTTTTGTTGTTCTTTAACTTTTTATATTTATTTCCATTTATCTATTCAACTAGACACTATTTTGTCAGAAGGGATAGTTTTAGACTATTGTGTATTAGCCTACAGCACTTAACTATCTCAGATCTAGAAGTAGATAGCTTAGTGAAGGATCCTCTATGGTATCTGGGTATTATTTTTTTTTTTGGTACCGGGGATTGAACTCGGGTCTTTGTGCTTGTGAGGCAGGCAGTGGAACCACTGAGCTAAGTCCCTGGCCCTATCTGTCTACTATTAAGGACATAACTAAGATAGCCCCACCCACCAAGTAAGGAAGAGATAAAAGGTACACTGTTTATACTTACATCATTGGCTACCCCTGTATGGATGAGGTCTCTTAGGAACCTCATAACACTACAATTGGCATCCCGGTGATCCAGGGTAGTAGAGGCAATGGCCCACTGTAAGACTGGGATGACTACTTGGCTCCTCAGTAAGGTGACAGGGCTACGCTGAATAAACCTAATGTTGAAAGAAAGGTTAAGTATAAATAACAAGATTAGGCTATAAAAGCAGTCAGGGTAAAAGACAAAATCAGGGTGCTGGGCGTGGTGGCGCACGCCTGTAATCCCAGCACTAGGGAGGCTGAGGCAGGAGGATTGCTGTGAGTTCGAGACCAGCCTGGGCTACATAGTGAGTTCCAGGTCAGTCTCAACTACATAGTAAGACCCTGTCTCAAAAAAAAAAAAAAAAAAAAAAAAAAAGACAAAATCAGGGGAAAAGAAGTTCAGTGGTTGCTAGAGATGGTAGGGAGGAAGGGATGAATAAACAGAAGATTTTAGGGTAGTAAAAATATTCTATGATTGCATAATGGTGAATAATAGATATCATACATTTGTCAAAACTCACAGAATATGTAACACCAAAATTGAACCCTAAGGTGAACTATGGATATTGGGTAATGATGAGTAAACAGAGGTTCGCTGATTATAACAATGTACCAGTCTAGGAGAGAGTGTTGACAATGACAATGGGGTTTGTGAGAGGCAAGGGGAATATGGAAACTATACTTTTCAATTTTGCTGTGAACTAAGAGCTGCTCTTTAAGAAACCAGATTTATTTAAAAAAAAAAAAGCCAGGACAAAAGATGTATTATTTTAGATGAATATAATGAAAAGATTTCCCCAAACTCAATTTCAAACTTATAAATCAAGTAGGCAGTTTCAAAAATCGATCCGGCATTTAGACCAGCATTTCTAAAACTATATTCTATAGAATACCAATTCTTAGGATGCCTAAGAATTCCTCAAAGAAAGTTTTGTGTTAAAGTAACTGTGGCAACAAATGGAAACAAAGCTTTTGTACATAGAGAGGGGAGAGGGCTTAAAGGAGGAATGGGATAAAATAAAATTTATTTTAAAAAAAGTAAGTGTGGCAAATGCTTGATTTTAGCTGGGATTATCAATGTGCACCACTATGCCTGATTTAAGAGTGATCTCATTCAAAAAGAAACGTCATTTCTTTTTTTTTGGTACTGGAGGTTGGACTCAGGTCCTTGTGCTTGCAAAGCAGGCAGCAGAACCACTGAGCTAAATCCCCGGCCCAGCTATGTGTGTGTGTGTGTTTTTTTTTCCTGGTGCTGTAGACTGAACCCAGGGCCTTGAACATGTTAAGTAAGTGCTCTACCACTGAGCTACAGCCCTGGTCTTTTCAGATTATTTATTGGACATAGAGATTTTAAGAAAAATACAGTATTTTCTAATTTTTTTTATCCATCTTTGCAAATAGCATTGCAGGGGTTGGTTTTCCAAGGAAGACACGTTGGGAAAGTTGACAGTCTGACAATATTCTTAACAATTCACAAGTTTTTCTAACTGTTCAAAACAAAAAAATGTTCTACATTCAATCTCACGATGAAATAGTCAACAGTAGTTCATATCTGTAAGTGATGAAATAATTAAAAAAAAAAATGTCAGAGCCATAGCTCAGTGATAAAGAGTACTTGCTAAGCAAGCATGAGGCCCTGGGTTCAAGCTCCTGAATTGAAAAAAAATGTTTCTTTTTTAAATAGTAATAATAAAAGGCTCTTATGTTCACTGACTTGGTTCAAATTCCTTAGCGAAGGGCCAAGAAAAAATTCAAGCAGAGATTTAACAACCATATTGCCCATGCTACTGGGTGGCAGACCGACAGGGATATTACTAGGTAGTGTGTAACCAGCGAACTTTCAAGTCACCTTAAAATCCTAGGAATCGTTTTTTCTGAAATATATGAAAGATGCTAAGCTTCCCAAGGAAAAAGTTGGGACAAAGCATGAACCAGTCTCAGCAGGATGAAAAGTTAACACGGTGGAGGTGGTAGAGATTATCTAGTCAAGTATTTGTACCAAGTACCTGTTTCGTTGGGTGCTGGGGAATTCAGCCCAGGGCCTCTTCCAAGCTAAAAACCTCACCCCAAACCAAGCATATTTTTGTCTTGTGTGTGTTCTTTCCTTCACAGAAGCAACTCATCTACTTGGCCCCTACTCCCAACTCAACACCTTCTCACTTCTTATGATACACCAGTTCACAATTTATCTTTGGGATATGAATTATTAATCTACCTTATCCGATGACCTCATTTTACAGAGAAGGAAACAGCTAAATGTCAGATGGCAAGATTAAGCAGTGACAGGGACAAGCAACTGACAAGTTTGCTCTTCACAAGGACTTACCGGGTGGCTAACCTGAACAGGTCATCTACAGTGTCAGGGTGATTCTGAAGGCCATTCTGCTGTTCTAGGAGCTGAAAGGTGGGGATGCACAGTGCCTAGAGCAAAACAGTGATTTAAAAAGAAATGTTTATACATAAAAGTCTCAGCATCCAGATATGCCAAATATTACAACAAATACAAAAATAAAGAAGGTGGTCAGGGATTTAGCTCAGTGGTTCCACAGCTGCCTCAGAAGTGCCAAGTCCCGAGTTTGATCCCCAGTACCAAAAAATAAAATAAAATAGGAAAACAGATACAAAAAGAGAAAGATTGTGACGAGGGGCAGATCAGTAAAAGAAAATTTCCCCAGTTGAAATAAACAGTTTTTACATATGAAATATACATTTCAGAAAAGTTGAAGGCATATATTTCCGTTGATGAAACTTGATAGATGTCCCATCAAAGTTTTAGAAACTTCTGAAAGCAGTTTTCAAAATTTCACAAGCCAAGGATGTGGTCTAGTCCACTAATGGAGTAAATGAAGCTTTCATAATAATGAACTGTCAATTTTATTTTATTGGTACTGGTGGCCAAAGTTGGACCCTTATGCTTCCAAGGCAGGCAGCGGAACCACTGAGCCAAACCCCCAGCTGAACTGTCAATTTTAAATGAAAAGATATCGTGGGGGAAAGAAGAGTATTTTAATTCCCTTATCTATTCTCTCCAGGTGATCAGGAGGGAGGGAAAATCAGTATATCAGGAGTCTTCTCCAATGCCTGTTGCTATTTGTCCTAAAGCCTTCCCTACTAAGTAAACTAGTTCATTGGCTCTTTCAGGCAAGAAATTAAAAATAAAATTATGCTTGAGCTTGGAGATCCTATATTTTAAATTCATTTGCTTTCCCTCTTCTGCAAAACTCTTCCCTACAACCAGAGAACATAAAGCAGGCAGTAACATCTAGAATAATTACTATATCCAGGCACTCAATCTCTCTTTTCTCCCAAGCAGTTCCGTCCAGAAAACAACTAGCAAGTTTCCACCTCCCTGGTATTAGGAAACAAACAACTTGGGGGGGAAATATAAAGAAGCAACAGAAATAAAGACATGGTGAAGTAGACCTGTAGACTCTAACTATCCAGGCCTGATGCATCTATTCTCAAGAAAAACGTACCTGGAGCATGTCTAGTAGTCCCTGCCGACAGCCTTCTTCCATGCCATACTCATCCACAAGGATGCTGCCGAGGTACAGGAAACAGGAATGCTGATGTACATGGTACACATTTACCATCTCCGAAGAGAAAACAAAACAAAATCTGTTAAATTTTTCATCCTTCAGCAAGTGTCAACTTAGGAAACTGTTTCCAGGAAGAAATTCAGAGATAGATCAGTCTCTTTGGTACTGGGGATTGAATTCAGGACTTCAGGACCTTACAATTGGGAAGCAGGCGCGGTGCCACTGAGCTAAATTCCCAGCCCAGTTGGTCTCTTACTTTTAAGGTAATATGGCAAAGCTTGTTGGTAACATGTTTGAAACACAATGTTCAATTTCTCAATAATTTTCAAGTTTTCTATTTAGAGCTCTTTCATGCCTTTGACCTTTCCTCTTCCTTTTCTTTCCTTTCTTTCATTCTCTTTTCTCTCGTTTTCTCTTGGGCGGGTGGGTGGGGTAGGACTTAACCCAGGGCCTCCACACTGAGCTATATCCTCTTCTATTTTGAGACAGGGTCTCGTTAAATCACTAAATCGCCCAGGCTGGGCTTCAACTCATGATCTTCCTGCCTCAGTCTCCCAGACTGCTGTGATTTCAGGAAGCCTTTCATCTTTTATCTTTTTTTTTTTGGTACAGGAGATCGAACTCGGGTCCTTGTGCTTGCAAGGCAGGTGGCAGAACCACTGAGCTAAATCCCAGGCCCTATCATTTATCTTCTTAAGATAATACTACTATAAGGGAGCTGCCTGGGAACCAGAACCTATTAGGGAGCTCGTGTACTCTGCAAAAGTCTTGCATAATATTCTTAAATTTCCCAACCTCTAACCTGGCATGGTAATGCATGTCTGTAATACCAGCACTTAGGAAGCTGAGACAGGAGAATTGCTTCAAGTTCAAAGCCAACCTGAATTTGAGAGCTCCTGTCTCAAAAAACCTCAAAAAACAAACAAACAAACCCAAAAAACCCCAACCTCTAAATTTAGGTTGTACTTATTTGCATTATAGATAAGTGTTATTTTTTTTAAGCAAAACATTTATTGGATGTCTGTAATACCAGCACTTAGGAAGCTGAGACAGGAGAATTGCTTCAAGTTCAAAGCCAACCTGAATTTGAGAGCTCCTGTCTCAAAAAACCTCAAAAAACAAACAAACAAACCCAAAAAACCCCAACCTCTAAATTTAGGTTGTACTTATTTGCATTATAGATAAGTGTTATTTTTTTTAAGCAAAACATTTATTGGTTATAAAACAAAAATATCAAATGCATTCATCTTGGAGAACACTGAAAGGACCGTTTAAATTCTGAGTTTAATACACATGTGCATTGATATTATATAAATTCAACACTATGAGCTTGGTGTGGGATGACAGAGTAACTACTCTTTCATCAGCATATGGCACAGAATGAGCAGGAGATGAGAGTTCTACAAATGAATCATTTGAATCACAGGTTGGCCAACCTTTTATAAAAGGCCATAGTAAAAATGGATCCCTTACTTGGTTATTCAGTGTTCTGACTAACTCAGCTTTGCCAGTACAGCACAAAAATGTCTGGGAGGTAACACTTCAATGTGCTACACTGGCAAAGTTTATGGCCTTGCTGAGGTTAATACTGAAACAAACAGCTTAGTGGTCTAAGCATAGGTATCTCATATGGAGTAATTCTAGATGTGAATACTTCATACAGTGAGTCACAATATCAAACTGCAATTTTTTTACATTCCTAGTCCTTATTTTTATTTTGTGACAGGGGTCTCACTAAGTTGTTCAGGCTAGTTTTGAACTTGTGATCTTCCTGCCTCTGCCTCCCAAGTAGCTAGAATTAGAGGTATGCACTACCATATCACATAGATCTTAATAATAATTAAGAGTCAAATTTATATTTTGATAAATAAAAGATTCATGTGAAAAACAAACTGATCAAGACAGAATGAAGTTTGACTTGGCACATTTTTTCCCCAAGGAAATTAATATAAAATTGCTTCCCATTGGTATATAAGAATCATTTTTGTCACATAATTTCACACGGGAATGTATTGCTATTTAGACGACCACTACACAGAAGAGATTATAAACTGTTTTCCCTTATAGACAACACATCAACCTCAGGCACTTATCTCTTTCAAATTTTTTTTAGTTTTATTTAATAAGTCAAAGGCATTCCATCAGCAAAGTTTTTGATCTAAAGGCTCCTATTTGAAATTCTGTGTGAACTCCTCTTGTGGAGAACTTACCTGTGTGACAAGTGGCTGCAGCAAAGCTGCAGATCCTTTGCCCACACAACGAACAGCAAAGCGCAGGCACCTGCAACAACGCTCTACAATCCGATTATCAGCCCGGTGCTTATTTAGAGTCTCAGATAAAACTGGCCATATCTGAGTCAAAAGTGAAAAAGCACAAGAAAGAAAATAATCAACAACTAAGAGCTGAAAAGATGTTCCTAAGTTGGTGACACTTTAAATAATTTGGATAAAACTTTCTCTACAGGAACAAACATGCTTGGATTCTGGCCAGTGTGTATATAATATGCTACCCATCACTAAAACCCAATCACTGCTTGAGAAACAACACAACTCTCTAGAAGAGGCAGAACGTGTCTAACTTTACTAAAAGGCAGATGCACATCTTCCTAAACTTCAGACTCCAAAATTGAGGATGAAAACAATGAATTAAACAGGAAGAGATACTTTAAAATAGTTCCGGGAAAGTGCAAGACCTTGAACAGAAGTACTTGGATTAAAGAAATGGATCACTTGCATACACCAAACACTGAAGGATATTTAGTATTTATATAATTTCCCACCTGGTGTCTAAAAAGTACTTCTCAAAACCATTACCCCTGTTGCTCAGATTATCCTTAGTGAAAAAAACATAAGGGAGGTAAGTTATCAGTGGAGTAACTGAAGCGAATAGCTTTGTCAAAAACATGAAGCCCTGGGTTTAATCTCTGTCACCACAAATGAAAAAAAAATTTTTTTTGTTAGGATTTATCATGCCTTCTGGGTCACACACAGTTAATCTATATGTCTTTGGCCTTTCAGTGCCATTTGCCCACATCCTGTTTTGTTATCAAATCTAAAATCAAAAGCATTTGGATGTCTGTCCTTTATTTAATTGAAATTTAAACCATATCAACAATTACAATCTCCCCATCAACCTGGAAGACAGTACCTTCGAAACCCAGTTACCCAAAGCCTTGTAAGGAAAAGAAGAAAGCCTTGATTCCACAGGCATCCATTAGCACTTACTTCCTGAATGACTTTTTGGCATGGATGAGTCTGTCCATTTTCCACAATGGGATTGGTGTGTCTGGGAAAAGACAAGGATCCACAGTAGTGGAAAAAAAAAAAAAGAGCAATTTCACCAAGGACCCAGAACCCTGATCCCTGCTTGCTTACTTAATAAGACTGTTATAAAGAAAGAAAACCAGATGGTAGAATCATTTACTTTACAACAACATCTTTTCCTTTCATTCCAGTTATACAAAAATAAGCATATACTTTCAATTATCCTACCATTTTTTGCCCCCATTAAGTCACTTTCACTGCAACATGCAATTTCTATCCAACTCTGGTTATATGAACTATAAGGAACTACTACTTTTTCTATGTCCCCTCTTTGTAAACCTAAGTATGTAGTTTCTTCATACTTGCACCATTCCTACTATTAAGAGACATAAAGCTTTAGGGGAACTGTAGTCCACCACTGATATTTGTCATAGTTCTATTCTGAATTCAATGATACAAAATATAGAGCCACCTATAATTATGTCAAATCCAACTCCTCTATCTAGTTCTAGAGCCCATTAACTTGGGGAAAAGCAGCAAGAAAACTACACTATTAACTACTAGCTTCAAGCTACTCTTCAATTTTAAAAAACTCAACAATAACGTTAATAAAAACCAAATTTTAAGCATTTATATCTACTGCAGATTTCCTTTTATGTACTGTAATGTAAGGGTTATTGTTAATAGGCTCTCAGAATAGCATGTGACAGGGCTCTCCTAATTATATAAGGAAAGCATTGCACCAACCTGGATTTGCTGACAATAGCTAACAAATGAAAACAGTGCTCTAACTTAACCCTCAGAGGGTTCTATGCAACCATTACTCTATTTACCCATCTAAATAGCTCTGGCTACACTTATGGGTCTCACAAATTTATGAATATATAATATAGTCAGGTACATATTTTGATACTGTCACTCAAGTGCTTTTTTTTTTTTTTGTACTGGAGGTTGAACTTGGGACCTTGCGCTTTAGAGGCAGGTGGCCGAACCATTCAGCTAAATCCCTGGCCCTCAAGGGCCTTTTTAATCATTGGCTCCTCTCGACTTCAAAAAGTAATTTCACTTGATCATTGAGGACAATTCATTAATATTCTCTCTCATTCTCTGCCCCCCAGATATAGATGACAGATACATTAATGGCTCTAAAAGTGTAGTGTCTGGAACACCACAGAGGTAACATCACTTTGGAACTTACTAAAAATGTAACTTTTCAGGTTCTACCCAAGACCCAAAGTTATCAAGCTTAACAGCTGGTCCCTAGCAAACCCATGTTTCGATAAACTCTCCAGGTGATTCCCTCTCTCTCTCTCTCTCTTTTTTTTTTTTTAAGTACTGGGGATTGAACTCAGGACTTTGCACTTGTGAGATGGGCAGCAGCAGCAGCACTGAGCTAAATCCCTGGCTCAAGGTGATTCTAATACATGCTAAAGTCTGACAATCACTGAAATAGATTGATAGAATCAAATATATTTTTTAAAGTTTTTACAAAGTTCTACTAAGAATGAATTCTTAGAATTTGCGTTTGCTCCAAAATTTTAGGTAAGCTTCATTTGAGTTTCAATCCAAGTGAGGAATCCAGAGTCTCTCTTCTTACCTAAATATCACTGCCAAGCGATCTAAGAACACAGTAGGATCTGAGGAAATGCCATTGCTGGGCTCCTGAGACAACAGCTAAAGAAACAGACAATAACAACACCCAGTGGTCACGTGTGCAAGTTAGCAAACACCACAACATACATCTTTAAACAACCTTTGTCTCTATCTCTGCATATTTCCTTATAATGAGATCCTATAAATTACTTAAGTGGTGCAAATTTTAATCTATATTATTAAATTACTTTTCTCTATCTTACTGAATCCTGGCCAAGAGTGAATATTGTACATTTTACTCACTGATCACAGGAGTAGAAAAATAGTGTCATTTCATTTTTCCCTCATTTTTTGAAATTATGATTAAGATATTAGCTTTATATATAAGGCTTTAAATTTATTACAGCTTTAAACAAGATGCCTCTAATTTTTTTTGCTACAATTTCTTAGATACTCACACCAGTATATCATTAAAAATGAACTTTAGAATCATCATATAATGTTCTAAAAATCCCATTGGTATGTCTACTAAATGTAATTGGGATGAACTGACATCTTTTTTTTTTTTTTGAGACAGGGTCTCACTATGTAGTTGAGACTGACCTGGAACTCACTGTGTAGCCCAGGTTGGTCTCGAATCCACAGTGATCCTCCTGCCTCAGCCTCCCAAGTGCTGGGATTACAGGTGTGTACCACCATGCCCGGGTGACATCTTAAAATAGTCTTTAAGGAAATATGGTAGATTTTGGTACCTTTTAAAATCTTTTTTGGTGGTGGTACTGGGGATTGAAATCAGGGTGTTCACACTGAGCCACACCCAGATTTTTATTTTATATTTTGAGACAGGGTCTTGATAAGTCACTAAGTTGCCCAGGGTAGGCTCAAACTTGTGAGCCTCTTGTCTCAGCCTCCCAGAGTGCTGACACTAGAGGGCATGTACTATCACACCCAATGAGATTATGGTTTTCATTGCTGACTTAAATGATTTTTCCCATTTACCTTCTGACTGGTTATTTTACTGATTTTTAAATACAATCAAGTGCTTTTAAAGCAATGTTTTGGTCAATGACCGACCATATAATTAATGGTGGTCCCAAAAGATTATAATGGAGCTGAAAAATTCCTTTCACCTAGTGACTTCATAGCTGTCCTAATAGTAGAGTGTACATTACTAGTGTGACTGTTGTAATGCTGGTGGTAAACAAACCAACTGTGCTGCTAGTGGTATGATAGCATGGTACTTCAAATTATAGTATTGGGGGGGCACCAGGGATTGAACTCGGGACCTTGCACTTTCAAGGCAGGCGGCGGCACCACTGAACTAAATCTCCAGCCTGACAATTGTGCACAGTACAAAATACCTGATAATAAGTGACTATTTTAAAGTGTGCTCCTACTTAAAAGAAGCTCACTATAAAACTGTAAGCTGCAGTATGCTGGAAGCAGTCTCCTACATCTCATGACTACATCAAGAAGCCACATAAAAGTGCCTGACTTATACCATCTGGGTTTGTGTGAGTACACTCTAATGTTTGCACAACAAAACTGCCTACTAATGTCTCAGAATGTATTCCTGTCATAAAGGGAACCATGACTGTACTTTTTCTTTGTATGTAGCTACTTTAACAGACTAATTTTATTTTATTGTTTATTTATTTATTTAGGTACTGGGGATCGAACTTGGGTCCTTGCGCTTGCGAGGCAGGCAGCAGAACCACTGAGCTAAATCCCTGGCCTGACAGACTAATTTTAATTACTTCTCAGTTCATTCTCTTGGCATTTGTAGGTAGATGAAAGATAATATGTAAGTAAGAAATTTTGTCTCTTTCCTTCCAACATATTAACTTATTTTCATTCCTTACTTAATCGGACTTACCTTTTTCAATGCCATAACCTGAACAGAACATAATTCACTAAGACATTCAGTAATCTTATCCAAAGGTAATCTGGCTAAGACGAGTGCTGTCCCTAAAACAAAGGAAGATGGAAATGAAGAAAATAAAACCGAAATTGAGGTAATTTGATTCACTGGGCTACATCATACAGATTAACAGAAAAAGTTGACTGGTTCCATTTTTAAAACGATTACCACTATTTTTAAAATTATTCTGTTATTTATAGTTGTTTATTTCTTTATGTGGTTTAGTAGACTGACTTTTACACTGACATTTACAAACAAAATATTACATTTTAGCAGTCTGTTGACTTAAAGATGTTTAAACATGCCTCTCTTTCAATTATTCAAAGGCTTTACAAATCATCTTTATAAAGCTAATGCCAAAGCTATTTTTATAAACCATAATGCAATATTTCTCTTCCATCCCAGAGATTCTGACTTAATGGATCAGAAGAGCCTTTGTTTTTGATAAGCACCTGAGGCAATTCTTATCACAAAGGTCTGAGAAATACTCTAATTCTTTTAGGAAGAATGAACCAAAGTAAAAAATTTCATTGTCATCTACTGTACAATCCCCTTAGACTCAGCTGCATCATCTGTGAGATAAGTAATTTGAGTAAAAAGTTAACAATCAAGTTTGCCTGTTTTTTAAGAAATATTTATAAAAGTTTTTCTCCTCTTCTCCCCAAATTCTTAAGTTGGAACTCAATAGGTTAAAAAAAAGAGAGACATTAGGTTCAAGTAGCCCTTATTACTCAGCCTCCCTCTTGTTGTAATCCCCAATCTATCCTCACCAATGACTCCCCAAATCCAAAGATTATACATTAGCCAACTGTCCTTCCAAGTCAAAAAAAAAAAAAAAATCAACTGATTTTTTTTTCATCTTAAATTACATTCAACAGAATAATAAATGATCCCTAAAGTTGAATAAAAAAAACAAATGACCTTTTTTTTGGGAAGCCTATAACCTAAAGATGAGTTAGATTTTGAAATGGTGGTGGTGGGGGCTCTAGCTTAAATATGATTTTCTTTTAAATTCATTTTTATTGAAAAAAATGTTACCAAATAGTTTCCTATGTGTAGAAGACATCACTAACTGGGAGACCACAGTCTACTTCAGGTTAGACACCATTTCAACATCATGATTAAATGACAAGGCTCCAATTTAATGCATTATCTATACCTATGGAGGGAAATAACAAAAACCCATGGTACAAAAAGAATTATCTACGGAAAAAGGATAGTTCCGTGAGCTAGTAAGGAACCTGGTCATAGAAACAAGAGAATGGAATTAGTTTACACATAAGGTTACTACTCCTGCAAAGGCTGTCTGACATTCACAGAGGCTCAGAAAACACTAACACAGGTCATATTACCTGATGCTTTACTTTCTATACTCCAACCCCCCTTATTTGCCAGCTAGAAGGAATTTACTACTTCAAGGACATCCTAATTGGTCTTCAGAAAGTTTGGATAGAAAATATTTTCTTTTTAGGAGCTAGGATGTGCTTCCCTATAAATAGCGGAGAATGAATACTCACAAAATAAGTATGATCCCTTTTTTTATAAAATAATCTTTTAAATGTTTAAGAATATCCTTCACATTTAAAATTGTTTCTGTCTTTTTTCCTAACCTTACTATCTCCAGTTCTTCTATCAGTCTGGGCCTCTCAGTACTTTGGCTCTTCACTTCTGTATAGGCAGGTTCACAGGGTAAGCTGACCAGTACTGATGAAGACTAATGAGCCAACAGGACCCTTGCTTCTACTTTTCACACTGATCCATACACATGATCTTGCGATTTCCATTTAATCTTTTTGGAAGGGCACTGACTACTTATTTAGTCTCTGTTTTCATTCTTCCCCCAATTTAAAAAGCAACTGTTTAGTTCAAATGTATTGTCTCCACACAAAATCTCAATCTGTGCTATGCATACAAATGTAGGCACACATGGTTAACACCCTCCTAAGTGCAAAAGGCACCTTCACCATTACTATGTACTTTATAACTAAAAAATTGCAACATGGATTATGTAAGATAACGAAGTAGTGGAATACAGGAGACTGTTACTAGTTAACATCTTAATTAAGTACCTTTTAGCAAGCCCACAGCAGCTTCTGGAGATAACATGAAGGAATCAAGGGATCGGGCAATTTCTAGGAGTCCATTAAAGTGCTGAGCCATGTGATCTCGGCAGACAGAGCAAATGTTATGAATGGCTTTAGCTGCAGCAGAAGCCAGGGGCTTTTCACACAGGCCTTTCATCAAATAGCCCAACACAGGGTCTGAGGAGTAAAGCCAAATAGATTACATATATGGAACTCAAGAAAAACTAGTTTGTTAGAACAAAGGTTTGTATATTTATTTTTTTAAGGTAAAAGAACCCTTTAAAAATATATATAGAATCCCCATTGTAAAAACATAAAAATAGAGCTGATCTTGTTGACATAGCGCCAGGCAGCCCTGACCTGGCTCCTGTCTGTTTTACTCACATTTCTTCCCTCATGGTGGTCCACTATTCCTTTAACCATACCAATTCATGGACACAGTTTGAAAACAGTCACTGACTTAAGTATTTAGATGGCTATCTATTAAAAATATAGATTCCAATGATGAATGTAATTGTATTGTATACCTAAAAAATACCGCTAATCCTAATGAAAAAATTTTTAAAAATATATAGTACTATAACAAAGAATACAAAGTTCAGAGAGTGACCATTACATTCAGAGATCAATCACTAGGTAAAATAGTCTATATCGGTGGTGGCAAACCTATGGCATGTGTGCCACAGAGGACTGTTCCTATTACTGAAAGTTCTAAAAGGTCTGCCATCACTAGCCTACAATAATAAGGACGACAATAATTATCTAAATCTGACATTTTATATTTGCTTCTTTCTAGTTACAAAGGCCTTAAAAACATGCAGACAAATCTTTATTGCATCTAGATGAGTTAATTCAGTTTTAATTTCACCAAATATAAATGTTCAAGAAAGTTGATTGAAAAGGTGAATTTCTATAGAGTCAGTTTCAATCCTTTTACCTTCCTTTAGAAGTCACAATTTTTTGATAGAAAAAAACTCTAAGAATAAATACCATGACTGTATTTTAGACCTCACAGTAAATATGAAGAAAACTGAAAAAAAAAAAAAAATCAAAAGAATAAGGTCTTAAGGCCCAGTTAAATTATTTACCTGCATTTCTGGTCTAACAATCAATACAATGCACAAACGCACAGCCTCTTCCATCCTTAAACATCCCAAGCCTGTTCAACATAAAACTCTCAGAAGACCTAGAATCTGGAACATAGCTCAACAACACTGCAGATTTTGCTGTTTCTCAAACTGAGTATTTGTGGTTTTGGCTATTTTAGAGTACAAACACATAGCAATTCACTGCTGAAGGATAAATCTGTAAACTTTGTTTTTGGTACCAGTGATTAAATTCATGACCTTGTGCTTGCAAGGCAGGCCTGAAGTATAAATCTGAATTAGACAATGCAAGGGTACTGAATAAAAATTTTGCAGTTCAACCTACCTTTACTGTTTACTAGACATGAACAGAAGACATTAAGACAAAACAAACAGGCTGGCTGCAGTGGTGTGTCTACAATTATAGCTACTTGGGAGGCTGGGGTGAAAGGATCGTTTGAGCCCAGGAGCTCAAGATCACCCTGGGATAAACAGTGAAATACCTTCCCCATAATAAACAATAAACAAACAAATTCACTTTTATTTCTGTGTGAAAAACTGATTCAAAAAGAATGCCAAGGTAAATTACCTTGCCTCACTTGCCTCACATGCACAAGGTCCTGGAGTTCAATCTCTAGCACTACCACCACCACCACCAAAAAAAAAAAAAAAAAAAAGTTGGAGCAAATAATGGAAGTGAAAAGACCCAAGAATTCAAAAATAGGCATTTTGTTGTTGTTTTTGTTTTTAAGACAGGGTCTCACTATGCAGTTGAGACTGACCTGGAACTCACTATGTAGCCCAGGCTAGTCTCAAACTCACAGTGATCCTCCTGCCTCAGCCTCCCAAGTGCTAGGATTACAGGCGCGCACCACCACGCCCATCAGTAATTTATTTATTTTCTTTGGGTCTCAGTGTCCATATCTGTAAAATTAGGATAACTAATTTCTGTTTTTTGGGTTTTTAAAATTTTTTTATTTTTGGTACTGGGGATTGAACTCAGGTCTTTGTGCTTATGAGGCAGGCACAGGAACCACTGAGCTAAATCCCTGGACCACTAATTTCTGTTTAGTTTAGTTTAGTTTTGTTTTTTATTTTTTTTTGGTTCCAGGGACTGAACTTGGGTCCTTGCGCTTGCAAGGCAGGCCACTGAACTGCTAAGCTAAATCCCCGGCCCTTGTTTTGTTTTTGAGACAGGGTCTTACTATGTAGTTGAGACTGACCTGGAACTCACTATGTAGCCCAGGCTGGTCTCGAACTCACAGCAATCCTCTTGCCTCAGCCTCCTGAGTGCTAGGATTACAGGCATGCACCACCACGCCCAGCTGGACCACTAATTTCTAATTTTACCTTCAATTCTAAAGTTATTTTATATGATCTTTATTTTTCTAGTCAAAAAGGGCAGCCAGAGTTAATAAAACTCAACACTCTTAATCTTAATTTGTATTTATCTTGTTTTGAATAACTCTTAGCATGAGAATCTAATGATTTCCCTATCTGTATATAATCTTCCAAAGGTTCTTCTCCCTAGCCGGGCATGGTGGCGCATACCTGTAATCCCAGCACTGGGGAGACTGAGACAGGAGGATTGCTGTGAGTTCGAGACCAGCCTGGACTACATAGTGAGTTCCAGGGCAGTCTGAACTACATAGTGAGACCCTGTCTCAAAAAAAGAAAAAAACAAAAAACAAAACAAAGGTTCTTCTCCCAGATCAATTACAAAGGGCCTCTCAACAAAGCAACTTACAACAACATACTTACTTTTAAGTGCTTACAAATATTCTACCTGTCAAAACCAAAAAAAGGTGGAAAAAGCAAAAGTACAAAAGAAGAAAATCAGAAAAACCCAAAGTAGGAGCAACAGAGGGAAGAGTACACACATACCAAGGAATTGAGGATTTCGATCAACCACTTCACTCATTTCTCCAACCAACTCAATGCTAGTATATCGCACAGCTGTATGTACAGTCTCTGGGAGACGGACAACTCCTTCTAGAACTTCCACAAGTGTTGGGTTGTTCTCCCTGAGTACAGAAAGCAAGTACTTACAATTACTGACTTCAGAGGTTAAGCTCTAGCTAAAACTAGTGAAACATCACATTGCTGAAGGACTTCTTTCTAAATAAAACTGGGTGTGAAATGTTTTTCAAACCCTTAAGAAAGGAGAAAAGAAAGAAATGAAATGTCTTCTTGTAAAAAAGTCTACTCCATTTATTCCAATATCTAAGGCACCTAGAACAGTGCCTGGCACATAGTGGGCACTCAGTAAATATTGCTGAATGGCTAAATGAATAACTTTCATAGTCCATTTTTCTATTAGTTGTTATTCTCCAACAGATTTCTTACAGCTGGATACTGTAAACTTTAAGACCAGAAAAGTATGGGTAGACTAGCTCACTACCTGAAAGAACAAGAAAACTACTGTAGGAATAGACTAAGGTGCTCTGATTGGGACATGAACGAAAAACAAAATTAACCAAGCACTTTCCTCAGCTCTATGAATATATCCCACTCTCAAATTATAATTGAAGTTCTTTTAAAGAGTGGAGGATGCCTCCAAAGTGATAGAACTTAATCCAGAAATGAAGATGTTTAAAATGTAAATAATATCCTGGATTAGTGCAAGAGCACCCCCTGCTGATAACTAGGTCTATTGAGTCCTTTCAATGTACTAAAAAAAACTGTAATCATGCAATTGGCTTGACATGCAGATACACAAACAATAGAAAATCTTGTCTTATTAATGCCTTTTGTTTCCTCTGGATACTGAGCCAATTACTGAAGACTATCATCCTTTTTAAACTAACACTTTTCAGAATATTAATAATTTTTGTTTTGTTTTGAGATAGGGTCTCATTATATTTAGTTCAGGCTAGCCTTGAAGTCACTATGGAGACCAGGCTGACCATAAACCTCCTACCTCAGCCTTCCAAGTACTGGAGTTACAGCTGTGGGCCACTACACCTGGCATTACTGACTTTAATTATCTTTAGACTGTCACAGAAGGTTCCAAAAGACACCAAAATAGGTTTAAAAGCAAATAGTATATAGTTTGCAATTTAGGACCAGAATTTCTTAATAGAGAAAAATAAACCTCAACTCTTTGAATATTTATCAGATTAGAAACAACAGAAAATTTTATTGACTAAGCCCAGAAATGCAATTGAGAAAGAAGCACTGTGCTTTTAATAAATATCTGTCTTAACCATCTTTCCAATTAAGGCCTTGGATAAAAGAGTTTGATTTTATATCTGATCAAACTACAAGCTAACCTGATATTGATATCAATGTATAAATTCATGACACAAAGAAAATTCTGCCTTTCATGATTCAAATCACAAACAATTTCTATGCTAAACAATTAGAAATCAAATTTAATATAAAAAATTTCAAAGGCAATAATAACTGCCCTTTAGATTTTACTACTCTTTCAGGTGAAAAGGGGCCTGTGCCTTGCTTCTCTGAAATTCACAAATGATTCTCTAAGAAAAAATGGGAAACAATATAATTAAATATTGGTTAATATTGTCAACCAAGGTCACAAAAGTAGGAGACCCAAATTAATATCTGTTCAATTACTTTTAAACAAGTACCAACATTAATACTCTAACCAATTCTTGATCATACCTACTTTGAAATGAGTCTCAGTTGGAAAATAGATCAGCATGCTATTCCTAGCATAAAAGCAAGTAATTTTAACTCTAGGAAATATGGATAAAACATGGCATAAGCAATACAGGCCAACCGCAACAAAACTCTAGCTAGAGAGCACTATAGAAGTAACACATTCTAAGCATTTCCGACCATACTGCATATAAGAGAAAAATGGTGTAATATTCCTTCCTTTAGATAGAGTTCTCAGCAAAAGACTTATTAGACACTCACGGATCAACACTCTTTGCTATAGCAGCCATGATAAAGAGAACCGCTTCAGTCACCTCCCAGGGTGGGTTGCCTTCTTTCAGAGTAGAATATAACTAGAGAAGAAGAGGTGGATTATGGATCCATTAAAAGGAAAACAATTCCAAAGCAAACAAAAATAAAAAATGCTGGTAGTGAGAAAAAATCCAGCTCCTTGTTACTAAGTCTCATTATCTTTTAGAGCCACGCAAGAATATTATTTTCATTTTTCACATCCTCATTAACTAGAAGTAATAATTATTTTGATGTTTGAAATAAACCCATTTAGATCCTGAAGAATTTATAAAGATTATCACCTGCCCCCAGAAAATGACTGTAATGGGAAAAACAAAACATTGCACAAGTCTTTTTCCTGATCCTAACAGCTGATAAATATAAAAACACACTTAAAATGGAGACAGTATAAATCCTCTACACATGCATTATTTTTATTTTTCTACTGTTTTAACTATTTGTCTACATCAATACAGGCAGTACAGGATAAATTCCATTAAAAGCAGCTATTTAGAAACATATACAAGCAGAATTTTTCCTTTAGCAAAAGAGACACCTAGTCTTGTTAGAGTACAATCTACCAACATGAAAATCACCTGGTCATGCTAATGTTAAGTGATGTGGAAAAATGATGACTGCAGCTGTCAGGAAAACCACAGAACTATAAATCTGGTATCATCATTTTTGGGATGAAACTATACAGGGTAGAAAAAGGAAATGCCAAACAATCGGAAGAGCTGACAAGAGTTAGTATAAAATTATTAAAGCAAGGAAACTTGCCTATTTTTCCTGGCTAGGAATCCCTATAAACATCCTGGAGGCTTCAGTGCTTAACTATCATCTTCCATTCCAGTTGCATGAGTGTTACAGCTGCCACCAGCAAGTGCAACATAACTAAATTATCCATGGACTGTGACTGGATTTTTAGACACTAAATAAACATAGCTACTATATGCCAGGCAATGTGGTAGGAACCTGCTTATCTATACTCCATTTGGCCACTGAACTTGAAGAAAAGAAATGGAACATTTATAGAAGGCATAGAGGTGAACACAATTTAAAGAAAGTGATCAGTATAACTGGCTCAAGAATTTCCATATGAGCTTACCTGAGCAAAACATTCCATAGACCCAATCAAGAAAATCAAGTCCTTTACCAAGTCTGATACCCTCATTCGAAACTCTCCAAAGTCATCTGTTTCCTCAGGAACCCCCTCCTGAAATTCAGAATCAGGTAATATTTATTTTAAACTCACCGAAGCTTTCAATGACTACTATAAAATCAACAGAAGAAAATGTCATTAAGTAGTTACATCCCAATGAACCAAAGCTGCCTAAATCACAAGGATATTTTACTACAGACAGGGGAACAGGATCTTTACACTTACTATGAGAAATTCTTCAATTTATGTGTGTGCATGCTTTATCTTTCCAAGCTATACCTCTCTTATGTTTCGAAAAATGTGGGGTGATAGAAGTGAGAAGTAGCCTGGAAAAAGTGGTAAATTAAGAATTACAGCCGGGATCCACCGCGGGAAGGAGAACCACGCCTGCTCCCGACCCAGCAACCATCACTCAAGCGCCGGGAGGTAGGCGGGGGGCCCATCCACCGCAGGAAGGAGAACCACGCCTGCTCCTGACCCAGCAGCCATCACTCAAGCGCGGGGAAGGTAGCCGCGCGGGCGCCCCTGAACCCCCATAAGCCCCCGCCCCCCGCACTCTCAGACCTATGGTCATCAAGTATTTTTCCGAGTTCCCAACTTTGAACATCCTTAAAGAAAGGGCGGGGGAAACCTGTAATGAACGTTGCGGAGTTCAACCATTCAGAAGGATGGGGATCTCAATCTGGGCCTTGCATCCTCGCTCTGTCTGAGCCATTAAATGGTAAATATACTATATTTAAAAGTTTGTTCACTGCAGACACGTTCTGGACTGCTTCTTGATTTCAATTTAATTCAAATGATTTAAGGGTGATAGACTAGTGACTACCATGGGTGGTCAGTGTCCAAGTTGTGCTTGATCTTAATGTGTTGCTGATTGTATCAGTTGGGGTAAAGCACTGCCATTGATTTGATGAGCTGTTTTCTCTGATGTTATGAAGATGAGAATGTCTTTGGGTTGTTAGAGACACAGAAGCTAGGGTGCAACTATATCAGGAAGATTTGGGTGATAATCCAGAGATTAAACCAAGGACAGTCCGACAACAAAAATTAAAATGAGAAAACACTTAAGCAAGACACAAG